ACAGGTAGAAGAGCCGTGTGCTTTCCTAATCTTAATAACTATCTATTCCTAGACTTCAAATTCACTCTGTCAAATACAGAGCAGTCTTTTCAAAAGGAATGAGCTGCAACTGAGCTGCAGCTCCTTTGCCAACTTCTTTCACAACCTCTTTGGTACGTAGCTTTCCACTGTCCTGCTACTGTACCTTCTTTGCATACGTACTTGGGCGTTCCGATCAGTCCGTCCTTCGCTAGCCAACACCTGCAGTACTTCAATAGTTTCTTTTGGAACGTAAAAACTCATATTTCGTCATATCCCAACACCCCTCCTCTTCACAGCGGCAGTATAAAGCTGGAAATTGCAATTTATCAATTGGGACTAACGTTCTGTGCGAGGCAATATCCTCACACAAGTTCGTTGCTGAGTCCTTCGTTGCCTGGACAGCTAAATCGCAGTCAATTGAACAGGTAGATTGCAGGCGGCAGTGGATCGCTTACTTCTAACATCCTGAAGCGATCCGAAAAGTTGGACAATTGTCCGCCAATTTACTTTTAAGGAGTCCTACAAAACATCCACCATTTGTCTGAGAATCCACATATAAAATGTAGCAGATAGTATGCAGTACTAACTATTTCCCCCTTTTACTTCTGCGCACAACATTCGCAATCTTTAGCTGAGCTAGATGGTGTACTTGGATCTTCTTTTGGCAACATTTGAAAAGCTGTCTTTTTAGCCCTGCAGTTGCCAGTTCTCAGATTTTTGGTTGACCACGACAAGCTAAAAACCTCCAAAGAAGTGAAGAAGTGGAATTGGTCAACTCGTTACTTATCTATCATCTTTGTGCCATATATTAACTAGAATAGGGACTTCTGTACCTACGTCCTACACCACATTGTCGTCACGATCCACATTGTCTTGAAAAATGGATTTCAAATTGGCAGTTGCTCTTGATTGTTGCTTCCCAAACTGTTGGGATGTGTCACCTTTCGACGACAAAGTTTGATGACTTATTGAAGCTGACGAAGAAGACTACATATTTGCACACGCACCGTCTGAAGATATTTGACCGTGAATGTTCTTAGCGCCTAAAGATTCAAGAATAGGTAAATTTGTTGATAAATGCGTGATCAAAACAATCACTGATAGTATTGATTACACTATTTAGCGTCCACAATGCACATAGATTGGTAGATCCAAGAACCAAGGAAGTCTCATGAAGATCATTCATCGAGAAATGTAGAAGAAATCGCAGGTCAGCATCATCAGCCCCATCTCTAACATGTAGACAACGGAGCGTCATTCTATCAGTCAATAGGATTAGAGCGTTCCCATGACTGAAAGCTAACAAGTCGAATCCCTCAACTGCCACAGCTAAGCTGTGGCACTACCGTCCTCACCCACCCATTCGAGCTTGCGCATCACCACCAAGGTCCTTGATCCCACGAACATTACCACCTAATGGCCGTCCGGATCCACCTCTCCGTGAATTGTTACCATTTCTACGACCATACTTTTTCGAAAGTAGACAACATCTGTGAATCTTTGGTGCTCTACAATTTCATCGATCGTGAAACAAAACTCACCGTTGACCTGGACTCGATTCTTCGAGGAGGGTTTGTGATTGAACCAAAGAACAAAGAGATGAAGTTGGTGATTCCTTCGATAAATTCTATGATGGCTCTCGAGAAGGGCTTTCTCCCTCCTACTGTTCCATCTTGACCAATATATGTCATCTCTTCTTGCCTGCTGAAGCCTCAGTTGCACACGCAAACGACTGAGGGATACATTTCATGGTTTTCCATGCAAAAGAAACCCGGAAATGACTATTTCTTCAATTCCACGACAAATTATTTGACTACAATGAAGACGAGCTTTGTGCTTGCAGCCAATAGGAGCTTCGGTATGAAGAGGAACTTTAGCAGAAAAATTGCTTGCCCAGTAACAATCAGGCTGTACAGGCTGCTACAAAGGAGTGCAAAAAAGTTCGAAAAGCGTACTAGTGACGACGCTATCTTGTTGCACCCGCCTCTAGTTGAAAATGACTGGGGGCGTCACACCATGTATCATCTGTCACAGTCCTCGAAAACAAATGCATACGAGATCCTCAGACTATTTGCTTCGTGGAACGATGTCATGGACGAATGGCATTTCGACATCGCCAAAAACAATGAGGCGAAGCGTTCTACAAACAATCAAGCCTCCACGAAGATTTTCGGAAAAAATCAGTACGCGACTTGCTGGACAACGCCGAAGAATCTACAAGAGGCCATTCGAATAGCGTTTAAAACCGAATACAGCCTAGAATCAGCAACACTGACGAAAATCGCGATCCTCGCTGTAAAACAAACTGAAACGCAACAAAGCATGCACCGACTCTCGTCGTTTGCAACGACGCAACAAGTACGAGTTACGGCGACATCCAGATTTATTGGAACTTCAAACCCAGCCTTTCACTTTCCTCCCGCTGTTACACCGGATGTACTTCGAAGCAAGTATCGATTTGCATACCGTGTTCGCGTTGAGAATTTGTCAAGCCACCAATACGTGCAACTCCTTGGCAGATATTGGGAAATTCAGGAACACGATGGTCCTCACTCTCAAGATGCAGTAGATTCTCCCATTGTTGTAAATGCACCAGAAACTGGAGGTAAGTTTCATTTTCGAAAGGCTAAAGCTGGAATGCGGCGGCTATGTCCTAATATCATGTAATTTCGAAGCTGTTGGTCAGCTCCCAGTTTTACGGCCAAATCAAGTGTTCGAGTATACCAGCGGCGCTGACCTTGGGACATCAAGAGGGAGCATGCAAGGCCACTTCTACATGGCAGTAGTTCCAGAGGATGCAGTATGCCTCAATTCTGGGGACGATGTCGACATCATTCAGGAATCAGACAAGTTCGAAGCAGTCGTGGCGCCGTTCCCTTTGGTTGGTGTGTAGCAAATCTCTAGCGATGTTCTAAACCACTTTCACAACATGCTATCTGAACCAAACCAACGAAATTCCTGCATTGTATTGCCAGGCTATTGTAGCAGCAATCTGGGTCCGCAATCGGAGATAGAGTCATAACTCGAGGTATGGTACCATTTAGAATGGACATTGTGATGGATTTATATTTTTGTTTGGCGGTGTCGGCCGAACGACGGTTGGCATTTGATTCTTGCGCTGTGGCGATCTCATGTTACGCATTGAATCGAGAGCTGCCAGGATGGGACGAGGGATTTTCTCTCTCGGCAAGGGTGGCTGATTATGTATGTGATATGGTGGATCAATACCTAGTTTTAGTGGCGTCGAATTTACATCGCCATCTCTAAGCATGTAGCAGTCATATGCACGGGCAGCAACTGCGTGCTCGGCCAGCGATTTTTTGTTGTACCAAATAATAGAACCGTCTTGCTGATAGAAGGAGCCATATCGTCCCGCCAGGAAAACTTCGCGTGATATTGGACATACGAATATGGCTGAGAACCTGAAAGCAAATGGGAAAGCGATGAGATGATCGAGTCACAAGATTGTACGGCAACGCTTAGGACATAAGCTACACACTTGAGCTCGTGCGTCCGAGCGCCATTATTCCAAGTAAGGTACTGCTTGTTCGGAATCTGAGTTTTTCTCTTGCCATATAACGAATAAAGTACAGCTTTTGGAACAACATCTGAAACCACAGTTACTGTTGCATTGACAGTTGCGTCTTTCCGTATTGATGACGAGGATGATGTGCTCTCTGAGACAACCGTAACAGCTGTACGACAAGTTGTAGATTTTCCTCCAGTGTATGAATTAGTATTCTCTTCAGCATTCTCTTCAGTCCTATGTCTTTTCATGTGTTCTTCAAGGTTCAAACCTGATAACCGTTTCCGCGTTCGGCGCTCATCCTCATCTGGTGTCGAATGAAAGCTATTTGATGAATTACTATCTCCCCAAGCATTTGAAATGGTATTTTTTGTCGATGGCATGGCGGAGGACTCTCTAATGCTCCCTAGTCGGTCGCCGAATGCTACTGAAGGAGTATATCTCCAACAACCTCCACGGACCGAAAATGAGAGTTCGCGAGATGGACAAGGCAGAATTCGTTTCAAGGATAGCTGAAGAGGCTCAAAGTCTCGACGATCTCGGACTGGTCCAAATTCGTCAATTGGAGGCTGTTCCATCGCCCCATTGCTGCTACCGGTAGTTAGCTTTGTATACATGAAACTAGATTCTCGTTTTCTCTAAATCCAAAACCGACTACCTGGACTAGTCAAAAATTTGATTTTGCTCATACCGGAACCAGTACCAGGTACCTGGTACAGTAGCACATTTCGCTGTCTGTAATTGCTGAAAAAGGAGATGAAAGGAAAATGAATTTTCGCTTGATTGAATTAGTACTAGCTGTCAAAAACTTCTTCACCCTTCCTTTTTGCTGTAAGACAATCCCAGCAGTCCCTTCTGAAATAACTTTTCTTCATAGTGCGCCCTTCCCGTTTTCAAAGTATTCCAAGACCGGAAAATATCACGGGCTCGTTGCGAAGCTGGAGTTCCAAATTCATCAGTTCCGTATTTGATGCTCTTCAAGTGGAACCGGTCCGAAGGAGCAATCTTGTATTTCTTCATTAACGCGTCGCCCAAATCTGACCCTCGAATAGGGCCAGTCGCATCTGGTGCCAAATGATCGAGCTCCAGTCCCTCAAGCAAGTAATCACCATAACGAGACAAAAACAAGGACCTGTCACTTTCCTTGGCATATTCATCGGCTATTTCATGAATTGATCCAAGTTCGACAAGTCTTTCTAATTGAAGATCATATTCCAGTTGCCAAAACGGATGCGAAGAAGTCGTTTTCTGCGAGTGTAAAAGCTGCAAAAAGACTTCTGCTGCGGTCTCGTCACGAATGTTCTCCCAAAATGCAGTTGAATCATCGTGCGAAAGAGGAGGTGCCAAAAGCAATGCATTACGAGTGCCCCCCATATTTACTTCTAGCATATCCGAGTCCGGGGCTAACGCCGTCACGTATTCTTTGAGCCAAGTCTTCATCGAACAACAAAGTGAGCACAATGCCAATTGATGAATCAGAAGATGGATATACGAATCTTCACTTACATTGAATTCAGATTTCTCGGCCTCGCTCCAAGCTTCAAATGGTGATTCAGCTTGTTTGGTCCTCCATACCTGCAACTGCTTCGTGAAGCCGAGAATCTGTTCGTCTGTACTGGAAAAAACTTCTGTTGCTGAGTCAGCATCATCGTTCCACCCTCCTAATGTGGCAAGAAGAGCATCCAAGTCGTCTTCAACTATATCGACATCATCTTCAATACGAGTGATGGAATCATCTTCATCCAAGGCTGTTTCAGGAAATAGTGCATGACGAGCAACCACAATGTCACGTCCTCGACCAATTAGATGTGGAGAATCGCCTTCAAGTAACTCGAGCCATGTTTCTTCTGACATGCCTAATACTCGTTTAGCAATCCAGTGATCCAATGCAGTCGAAGCACCGACCGTCCATTGTCGATATGGGACCGCCTGAAGACGGTGGGTCCAACTGATCATACCCTCAAATGATCTTTGGTTGTCCGAGTAGAGCATTGATGTATCCATATTCTCCTTCTGATCAGCAAAAGGAGTTGCTGCCGGATAAGCAGCTTGGGCGCGTTTCTCAGCATGTTCATCTGACAAATTATGCTTGTCCAAGCTCTTTGCTCTCAGTCTACTCCTTGTCTTCTCCTCATAATCACTTTGTTTCAGAAGTTCTTCGACCCGATAAAGTGCCTCTTTTTCACCTAGATCTTCAGTCCGCATCAATTGGTATTGCTTGACTGCAACGGCATACGCTTTGTTCAACATAGCACTCTTTGACCCCATGGCTGAATCTACTTTCGGAGCCTTGCTTGATCCGAGTAGACGACGGTAGTATTCTTCAGCTGTTCCCGGTTCCCCTGTATTTCCTCCTCGCAGTATTCGATTCAGGTAATTGTTCGCCAAGCGATCCGTCGGTCGATGCTCGTGCATGTATTTGTTGACAGCTTTTCGAACATCTTTCTTAGGCATGAAGGGTTTGAATGGAGATGGAGGATTCAAGCTCAGGATTTCGTACTCCGCGGGATAATCATGAATTTTAGACCCTCTGGGAACATGCCATCGAATTCGCTTCAAATCCGTTGGATCATCCTTCAAATGTTGATTCATTTCTTCGATTTCTTCATTACTGCGATAAATTCCTGTTTGGACTGCCTTTGAGGGGGAAGTTAGCTCGATGAAACGGTCAACGATGTTTATTAGCGCTTAACAGTATTCTTCATACCTTGCGGATGTATGTAACCAAATCTGGTGTAGAGTGCTTGAGTATCCGTTTTTGACCGTGATGTGTGGATATAGCTCCTCTACCTAATATGACTCTAGTGGAGTGCATGATTAAGCCTCTATCCTCAGATTTGCAATCAGTGGCTTTCACTTGATGTTATTTGCATCCTCAACCCACACGTACTGGGACACGCCTCGGATTGTAGTGAAACCAAAGTGTGACGGGAGACAGACAGACTTTTCCTCCCCCCTCAGCACGGAGGCATCGAAAGCTCTACTTTGTTCCATCGAATTCCTCCATCATTTA